CACTAATATTAAATAGAAAAATCACATGATCAAGAAACTTTTTGCTGCAAATTTGAGGGCCCAAGGAAACGTGGGTTTTAAGATAAAATGAACTTTGAAAATATTTCAAAACGATGGTAGATTAAAGGAAATTTTTTAATTTCTTGTCGAGGGGAAAGAGTTAAAAAATGTCACCGTGCACTTGGAGTTGGAGTAAATTAGTGTATCGATTGGACTATAAATAAAAGTAAAACGAATACTAAAAAAAAAAAAAGAAGAAGAAGAAGATAAAAAATTGGAGTCCAGTGCGGGCAAAGTGACCATTGCCCAATACCTACAAAAGAACTTAACACATATCAATATGTAGTAAAGTCGAACAAGATTTAAACTTTCCAACAAATAAAACTTTAGTCCCCATATCTGAGATATTTTTATCAGTATGAACGTTAAACAAATTAATTTCACCTGTAGAGATTTTTCCTCTAATAAAATGATACTTTACCTCAATATGTTTTGATCTTCCATGATAAATGAGGGTTTTTAGTAAAAGTGAACTTTAGCTGTCAGTAAAGATAGTAGAGTATCATACAGAAAGTTCAATTCATCTAAAATTTCCTTTAACCAATACATTTTTTTACGACCTCAGTAATGGCAAGATATTCAGCTTCAGTGCGGGATAATGTTACCATTGACCAAAGTTTTGACTTTCATGTTATGCAATTATCACCAAGTGTAAAAAAGTAAACTGTGGTAGATTTTCTATTATCTTTATCACCGACAAAATAGAATCCACATATCATTTTAAGGTTATTTTATCAGTTCTTTTTTCATACACAAGACCCAAATTTAAAGTACCAACAATGTATCTCAAAAACCATTTTAAACCTGTCCAATAGGGCTTAACAGAGTTGGACATAAATCTGCTTAAAAAATTTATTGCATAAGTCATGTCATGTCTAGTTGTAACTATGAAGAACATAATAGAACCTATAATATTAGCATAAGGTATGTTCCTCATCTCCAAAAATTCCTCCTCTTTCTTAGGAGAGTTTATTGGAATATTCTTGTGGGCTACTAACGGAACACTTACAGATTTTGATCCCTTCATACCAAACTTAGTTATGACTTTGTTCAGATAGGCCTCTTGGAAAACAATTAATCTATTTTTATGTCTATCTCTCCTTATAATCATTCCTAAAATCTTTTTAGCACTCCTAGATCTTTTATATCAAACTTAGATTTTAAAAGATTTTTCATTTTAGTGATTTCAAACTTGCTTGAACTTGTCAGAGCATATCATCCACATACAGTAAAAAGTAAACCTCACAGTCCCTCTTTGTTTTATTATAGTACAAGCAGTTATCATAGTCACTCCTTTTAAACCATATCTTAAGTACAAATGAATCAAATCTTTTATACCACTGTCTAGAACTTTGTTTAAGTTCATACAGAGATCTTTTTAATTTGCACACAAGATTAGCTTTACTCGTTACCTCAAAACCTTAAGGTTGACTCATGTAGATATTCTCTTCCAATTTCCCTATACGAACACAATCTTATCATCAAGTTGTTCTAGTTTCCAATTGAACTGAGCAACCAATGCAAGAATTAGTCTAATAGTCTTATATTTGATCACATGAGAGAATATCTCATT